CCCCGCCCCCCGCCCATGATCCGCGTGTTGCTGGTCTTTACCAAGCTCCTGACCATCCCCTTGTGACTGATCTCATTTGTATCCGCCCTCCTGCCGCCTCTGAAATTGCGCGAGAACCCCACAGACCTATATCTACCACGCCAACTGGATCAAGGGCCCCTTCGTCAACCCTCGCCAGAATGAATTTGCCTGGTTCACCAAGGACGAGCTGCGGGAACATCTCCCCAAGGAGACCTTCGACCGCCTGGAGCCCCTTTTCTTCGACTACACTTTCTAGGTGTCTTCTTGCGAAAGCAGGTGTCTCCTGACGCTCTTCGAGAATGATGCGCGCGCACATGTTGCCAAAGGGTGTGCTTGTGAATGGCCAGGAGGGAGCACGCTCACACATGTGTATGTGCCGGATGTCTGCATATGGCCACCCTCTTTTCCTTGCCCGTTGTGGCCTTCCCCCCTCCCTCCTCTCCCCCGCCTGCTCCCATGTGTGGCCCTGCTGCCTCCCGGCAGACTGCTCCCTGCCCTCGTCCGTCCCCCCCCCCTTCCCCTGCCAGGTCCTCCTTCTCGTGGGCCCAGAGCGCTCACGAGCGAGGATGCATATGACCTACTCGCCCCTTCCCCCTCTTGCATGCGCAGAAAAAGGTCCCATCCCCTGCGCGCGCCCCTGCCTCCTCTTGCCAAGATATAAATGACTTCACTGTTTGTGCCACTTGTCGTGTCAGAGCCATCGCTGGCCAGATATCTTCCCTGGCGCTGTCGCCGTCCTCCCGCGGGTGCGCACACAGGCCAGCGGGAAGCGCGACTGACGCTAGGCAGGCGGATTACTCTCCTCCCCGGTGGTCCTTTGTCCGCAGTAGCAACGTGTGTGTGTGTGTGTGTGTGTCTCCGCGTGTGTCTGTGTGTATGCGCTCCTGTCCCCCCGGGGCGGCCACGCCCCAAATGCCAACGCACAAGTAGGGCGTTCATAACCTCATACGTGATCCCGCGTACCGTGACCAAGTGGGTTCCCACGGTCACCCGGCGGACAGCACGCTGCTCAAAATGGCCGTCCTATCTCCCCCCCGTTCCCGGGGGAGAAGCGGCCCACCCGCCCCTGGGTTGCAGCACGCCGGAAACGGACACCCGGAGATGCCACCGTTTCCTGGGCTGGGTTGTATCGCTCCTGCCTTTGTTGGGTGTGCCTTCGCACACACCCTGGGGTGTTTGTCTAGGTGTGTGTCTGCTCCTGGCCCTTCGGGCCTCAGTCCCGGCTCCCGCTTATTTGCGGCTCCCATCTGGCATCCTCAGTGCTCAAGCCTCTTCTAGCCGGCCCTCGCCGCCTTGGATGCGGCAGCTCAGTGTTCCCGCCGAGCGCCAAGGTCGGCGGGCCGAAGGCGCAGGTGGAGCATCTGGCGTGGGTGTGCGGAGCAAACGGCCGGCATCGCCGCCCGGCCGCCCGGCCGCCTGTGTGCCCCGCGTCTCCTTGGCCCGGGGATGAGCCAACAGGGGCCGGGCGAGGGGGCCGGCGACTAGGGGGGGGGGGGG